TTTTCAGTAGGTTCGCATGAACTTACAATTCAAAACAGAGCAAGAAATCAAAATTTAAAATAATTATTGTATTATAAGAGATTTTGTAGAAGAAAATGAAAATTTTACATTTATATTTGGTTGAAAATGAGAATTTTCATATAAACTATTTAATTTAAATATTACATCACTTAAAGAAACTATCGATATAGATGATGAGATTAAAATATTAAATCATGCAAATAATAATGGCAGTTGAATTTATCAATATAATTATTGTTTAACAAAATTAAAAGCAGTTACAGTTAAAAAGACTATTTTTTTCTACTGATAAATGAACACTGTTAAAACTATAGTGATAGATATTACTCACAGTATGGCTTATAAGTAGTCTGCAGTGCAGTATTATTTTGAAGTTAGTGTTAGAGAGAAAAGTGTCAAATCAGAATGTATAGCACGATCCGATTGTTTTAATCAACAGAAGATATATGAAATAATACAGTAAACAATTTGCTAGTTTTGTAAATTGAAGTCTGATGATTAGGTGTTTGTATGTTTTTAAACAATACTGTCTTCCCTTATATGAAACACTGTTACTGGTCAACAATCTTACTCCAGTTTGTAAGAACTATTAAGTGTGTTATGAAATAAATCTTCCGTTTAATCTCAATATATCATACTTAAGTGAAGGCCGTTTGTGCAATGGAGGTAATAAGCAACCAAATACGGATTCAGTTGGATGAGTTTATTTCATACAGTCTCGTTAATGCAAACGGATTTGAGAATTAAAAGCGTAGAAGCGAAATAGAGAAGGCGAGTTAGCCAACTCAATCGGATGAGGCCTGACTAAGTAAGCTAGACATGTAACAAGCGAGGCAGGCATACACACACACACACTCAAATGAAAACTACCAAGATGTAAGCGAATAATTGACAAGATCGAAAGATGTGTGCATAACTCAAGAAGAATGAATTGATTAATTTACTCAAAAGCTGAGAAAAATCTTGAGCGCTCAACATATTCATGTACACTACACACTATTCCATTCGGATTTCGACGCTTTTTGATGTTTATTACACTACCGGCAAACATTTATTACTGGACAGCTTTGAAATCATCCTCAAGTTGTTGAATATTTTTATTCAACGCTACCATTTTCAATAGCTGGAGTAAAATTTTATAGTCTTTTTAAATAAATAAAATGTTTAATCTAACCAAGAATTTAATTTATTCTCTAATTATTTCACTAAATTATTGACTGTCATGATTTGAAAGGAACTTTTTTTATCGTTGGTTAACTTAATTATGCACAATCGATCGAGATTTATCAAAATTTCATTATGAAACAATAAAAGTACAGAATTTTTCAATTAATTTAAATCGAATGAACAAATTTCTATATGCACAAATTAAAAGTCCACTTATTGACCTTGAATAAAGAAAATATTACTAATTGTAAAGAATAGATGACATACAGATAATAGCATGAGAGTTTCGTCTTGAATGAGACACGTCAGCTAGGTATACTTGTATCAAAAAAAGAGTTGATGTCCGCACCTTGATGGAAACACAAAACCGTTCGCATCGGACACCATCGACTTATATCCTCTATGCTAATGAGTGCAAATAACCGCTCGCCTGCTTCGGTGAATAATCCAATCTATCTCAAATAGAATACAACCAATAACAATAGTTTTAAAATAATCACCTCCAGTTTTAAAGTGGTTCTTGTATAACCCAGAGGACTGATACTCACATGATAAACGGATTGTAATGCAAAACGCAAATTAACAACGAATATGAATAACTTATTATTCCACTACCTATATCTTTACAAGAAGTAAGAATATCGGAAAACATTTTGTAACCCTATAAGTGACAAGAATTATTCTGTTGATTAAAAACCACTCCCGTATTTATTTTCACTTAACATAGAATGAAAATAAGAACTAATAACTATGAATATGTCCTCAAACTTAATTCACTGCCCACCAAAATTACTGAGATCATTCAGTTTATACATACTCAATGATGCGATAGTTTAACTTCCCAAGGTGTAAGTCTGCTCTCAGAACATTATGGTTTAATCATGAAGATTTGATAATTTTTCTAGACCAAAATCAGTACAAATTTTAAACTGAAGTGTATCATTACGATCTTTGCACAAATGATTTTGTTTGCTCTAAATTTGAAATGATTACATCCGTGAGCTGGCTGTTTTGGTTGTGGAGCTTTCATTGGTCTTCTGATGAACAACATCATCAACACAAACTTCAGATAGCAGAAGTGAAGCATTCGAATTTCTCCACGTTTGTCCAGTAGCTTGTTCTGCTAATTTCGATCTTGATTGGTGGAGGTTGACCTTAAACCTGTCGTTGTTTGCACTTTTGTTTTCATTGTATCCTCCTTTTGATCTGTTTCTTGATCCTATGTCACCTATGATTTTCCTGATTGGTTGATAAATTGGATCAATGTCGATATGTTTGTTGATTGCTGATTGACCTGAGTGCCAGACTTCTAAATATTCTCTAGTGTTCTCTGTCCTCCCCCTATCCAGTATTTCACATTTTCCCAATCAATTGTATGTCCCTAATCGTCAGTGAGTATTAGTATAAACGAAGAGTTATCGAGGCGTTTGACTGCTAATTGGTGTTCACGTAAACGAAGCTGAAGAGGCAATCCACTTTGTCCTATGTAGTGTTTTTCACAATTTGAGCAATTTATTTTGTAGATGATATTTGGCTTATCTTCTTTTGTCATTTTGTCTTTTGGCCTACATAGGATTGGTTGAAGTGATTCTGTTGGTTTGTGTGTCACACCTATTCTAAATGATCTCAGTAGTCGTGCAGTATATTCCGATATGTCTTTTATGTATGGTAGGATGATCGGTTTATTGGTTCCTGTATTTGATTTCGCTTCTGTTGACCATCCATCCACCTGAGCTACAAATATTCTCCACCATTTCATTATTACGTCCAAAAGTCATTCGGTTCTCGTCTGAGTACGTGTTTTGATTTCGTTTCTCTCTCTCTCTGTACAACCATGAATTTATTCACATTCAGATCACTGAACTTTTACAGAAATATCCATAAAATAACACTCTAATTGCCATTTCGAGCTTCATGTGGTTGATTTGCAACCTGACTTGAAATATTATGAATCAGTCTGTAAGTCATTCGTCTGAGTACTGACTAAACTGTTGTAACATCAAGTCATCTAAAAACTCTACTTTTAACGATTTCTCGTCTGATTCTGTTGGGGATGTTAGATCCCCAGAACTCGCTTGATAAATGTCTTTATTTTGGATTTATTTCATGGGCTGATCAGTTGACTTGAGATCGCATTTCTCACCAGGAGAATCCTTGGCTGTGACTAATTACTGTGTTATTTTAGTGTGCTATTTTGTGACCCTCTCAAGGACGTCTCTATGGTATGTAAATACACGCAATTTGTGTGCTTTGATTCATTGTGTGCTGGCTGGATGTTTGTAGAATACACTTTCTACGCTATGTCAAAACTTCTTGCTAATACATTTGGGTCAGCGGATCATAGTAGCCTACCTGGACGCTGGTTCATTGTTTTGTTCTCGTTATTCGACTAAGGTGAACCCGTAATAGTTTTAAGCATACCTAGAAACGAGTGTAACACGTTCTTCTGTTTATACATGTACACCGATTAGTATAATTATTATCACAACTACTTGACTTACCAACTAATAATCACAAAAATAATATTCATGATCTCATTATCAGTTATGTGTCTGATAATGTATTGATCTTTAGGATTCACAGCATCAGAAAAAAATTAGTGTTTTTATTGAATCTCAAAACTATCTTGAATCCATTCTTAAATTAGATGAATAATTTGAGTAGTAATTTTATTATTTACAATCTTCAACTCTGTACTCCACATAAATCTTTAATTGGCTATAAGAATCACTTAAACTCCATTAAAACAAACTCATTTACTTAATCAATTATTGACATTTCTCCTCTCAGTGTTCATGTATTTGAAAAAAAGAAACGTTTTTCAATGATTAAAATCGATTTATTCGATTTCAATAGTCAATGACTAAAAAAAACAGATTTTCATCACAGTGAACTACTAAAACATGCAATAATTTTTATTTAAACAAACAATTCAATGTTTTACTGCTTATAAACAAATTACTTTTTGTTAAATTCACAGATGAAAGATCAAACGTATTTATTGTGATACAGATAAATAAATAAATAGAAACAAATAGCCAAATCTAAGTATAACGTAAAATAGTTTTATCATCAGATTAGATTTTATTGAATATTGAACGAGAGGAAAATAAAACACTATCAATCAGAATGTGTTTATAATTATGAATATATACTTTTCTGCATATAGATTATATATTTATATAGGCATTTTTGTTCGGTACTGATATCAAATACTGATATCAAATAACAGTAATGTTGAATTGATTTTAGAGGACAGAAATAAATTGAAACTGAAATATTAGTACAAAAGTTTGTTTGAATTGACAATCATAGAAAGAAGTAACAAGAAGTAAGGAAAATATTGTATAATCATATGCATGATAAAGTAATCTATTAAAGATCAGTAATCTCTTAAAAAGAATATCTGAAGTAAGCCACTAAACAGTGAAGTAAGTTTTTCCAATTAATAAAAACGATGTACAAGCAAAATGATGATAAGACAGCAATAAACTGTCTATTCAAGAGTGTATAGTTGGTGTATATGAGCTGGTGTATAAAATGGCTATAATTCTATATATATATATATATATATATATATATATATATATATATATATATATATATATATATATATATATATATATACTATAAAAATGATTTATAAAACTAAGATAGGCGACAGAAATTCAAAATTACCATACAAATGAAAATTTAGTTGTACATAATAACTACTTAAAAAAGAAAAAAAAACAGGTTAGTTATTTTTCATTTAAATCTCATAATTGAATGTGAAATAAAATTATAAATTGAATGTTTGCTTTGAATTAGCATTATTCTGATGATTCAAACTGAGAATCTTGTGAAACTGCTTGAAATAACAGTACCGCATTTAAATACAAATTGAAATAAATAAAACTATGTTCTTTATGTGAAAAATAACTGAAAAATTAGAAACAAATAATAAGAAAAAGAAATGACAAATTAAACGATATGATAATGATGAAATTAAACAATGAAAAATATGTCATGATAGGGTTGTGTCGAGACCATGAATTACAATTATGATTTATTTTCGGGTAGAGTTTTGGAGGTTTGTGTTTTTACACATTTGAAATCATCAATCAATCATTGTGAGACCACAATTAGAAACCTGGAAGCATTGGATGGCCGTTTCGAGGTTCGGGAGTCGTGGATACGCACTGACACTGATGAGTCCCATACCAGGACGAAACGGCCGTCCAGTGCTTCCAGGTTTCTAAAGGCGATCTAACAATGATTGATTGATGATTTCAATTATGATTTAATCACTAGTGCCTAAATTCGTAAGCGAATCCTTGGAATTCTATTGCGGTGATGTGACCAGTGGAGTTCAACCATGTCAGGTGTGACGCAGTTACCTACCAAAGACAATAGATGAAGTCGCTCAGTAACGTGGATTGGTTGGAGTTTAATGCTGGCCCAATGGTAGTCAAGAGATTAAGCGTTCATGAGCGAAGCTGAAAATCTTGCATTCGATTCCCGATAGCAAGCTCGCGGATACGAATTGCTGATAAGACTCATACTAGGAACGAAACAGCCGTCCGGTGCTCCTAGGTTTCCGATAGTGATCTAACATTCATCAGTTCGTGATTTCAGTGAAACTGAAAATATGTTTGAAGCATAATCTAAGTCATACCTGGAAAAAATTCATATATTAGAGTCATTTCCAAATACTTTTGTAATAGTCCTGGTTAACACTGAAGTTTAGAGCATAAAACCGGTTTGTAAACATCATCTTCTCATAACAAGAAGCATGTACAGTTTGAATACTGAATAGTAAACAGTTAAATTACATCACTGAGCAGATTGCAGGTAACTAGCGTTAACTGGCATTAGAAGTCTGTGTTAGTTTTAAATGTGAATTTTTAGTGTCTAATACTAAATGAAACTGCTAGAAAATATTATTCCGGCGAACCATGGATTATGTGCATAGAAACGAAAAACAGTTATTATGATCACTATAAATCAACAGGTACCTTATATTTTATGTTAATAAATCTTTTTCTACATGTTGACAAGAAATAATCATAGGTACATAAGATATTTATACAACCTTTCACTTTTTAACAATTTCCCGACCATATCTGCTAACTTGACCTGGTGGTCGTTCTTGTCTATCGTGATAACCCAACCGAGCTATATTGGCTCCAACATATGTTCCTGTAGGTTTTACCACACCAGGCAGGTTGATTAGAGAACGGTAAGACTAAAATAACCAACTCTAGGTCTTAGGGCGAAGTCGTACTACTGACTGCAGAGGGGTGTGACAGTAGTAACGTGTTTCCATCGGACGACCAGCATCTGCAGCGATGCTGCCTTCTCACACGGAAGGAAGGGGCTAATAAAGTTCGATCCTAAGAGTGTCACATCCCACCTTACACCATGAATTTTCATCTCCTGTGGTAAGGCTTTCTGAAGAGTGGAGCTGACACGTTAAAAACTTCCCGTAAAAACCTGTACGGGATTGGCCTCAAGCAGTTGCCTCTTGAGCTCTACGGCCCCACTGTCAGGATGCTAAGACCAACAATAACCCAACTTCCTTTTCACGTTCTTCAAAAAAACGCCCGTCCACGGTGTGGACAGCTGAGAAGTGATATCCACCCTCATACACGTAACAGCACACGAGACCGAATTGATCAAAATCAAATCCTTCCTTTTACAATTTAATTTAATAACTTCATAGATATATATTGATCCGAGTTAATTCATATTTTAAAAATTGTAAATAATTCATAAATGGAATAAACAATAACCGCCATGATAATACTTCAGAATAAAGAAATCTTGTTAAAAATCTAAATATAACTGGTATTTATATTTTTATTTTGCCAATAAAACTATCCATCTGCTAATGTCAGGAAGTATGAAACATTTTTCTTAACAATGATTTGTGTTTACATTGAGATTTCTAAAACACTCCTTCATAAAAATGTTTTTTAATGACTAGTGATTAGACTTCAAATTATTTATTCTACAACAGAAACTATTCAGTCTAGTTTAGCATTTCCGGTTGTGATTAATGGACTATTAATCTAAAATAGAAATACAATGTAAGATCACCTTAATCATGACTACTGGCAATCGGTTCCATGCAGACGATATCATAATGAAACCTATATGTTACTTTGTTATTGTCATATTACCAACCTTGAAAAGAAGTCATGTTTCCAGTTGTAATTATGTGTTTTATTACAAAGTAAAAAGAGACACAGCATAAAAAACATAACTTGCTACTCCAAATAAAAACACGATTTTTCTGCCTATCAAAAGCCCAAGAAACTCTTTACATAAATCAATAAATCTTGTAATCAAGACCTCTGAAGAGTAAGTAAACTTACTTTCAAAATATAACTCTTTTTCTCCTTATCTAGGCGGATATTTTACCTTACGTAATAACGTAAAAAATGTAAACCAATAAATAACATTAGAAATTGAGTCAACATAATTTACATTTCATGTAAACATACTACTTTACTTTAGTTTAGCAGGAAGATTCAGCTTAGCAGAAATCTGTTGTTTGACTTTGTTAGCAGTGAATCGATTGGAAAACGGCTGTAAAGCTTTCACTGTCTTTAACAATAATATTATCAGTGAGTTATTCTTACGAGTTTCACTATCTCTTATACTACAAAAAGAATTACCGCCCAAACTATTTTTGTTCAAATTTATCTTCTCATGTTATGTTATCCATTTCTGCCAGTTGTAATCTTTATCTCATTACTATGAATCCTATGATTAATAGTTTTTAAATCGGTCTCTCTAACAAATACACTTTTTTTTTATCCTATTTTACGCGTTCTCTTGTTTTAACTGTGATTAAAAAGTACATATATACTGTAGACACAGTGAACAGTGAACACGTGGAATATATTTTTTTTAACCTGCTATAACTCTTTGTAAAAATGAAATCATCATTGAAAAGAGTCGTTTTTTCACTCTGTAATTATTCGTAAAACAATGGGTGTTTCCCATTGATAAAACAAAGAGAAATGATAGACATTTTATTTTTATTTTTTTTACTTTCCATTAAAGCAGTAAGGAAATGCAAGTTGTTGTTGGATGTGAACATAATGTGTATAGTTGTTGCGGAATCATAAAACAAACTTTATTATTTCAAAGCTATGAAGAGTAAGTAAGTAGGAGTACTTAAAAAATAATCATAAAATATTTTCTCAAACATTTCATCATACTTTCATCATATGTAGATTGACGCCTTAAGTTGCTCAGGGTCATATTGTCTGGAAAATAAATCGTATTCATTTTCAAAGAAAAAAACGTTTACGGGTAAAGTTATTACCTTTTGTATTCTAGCAGTGAATCCATTTTCTAGCCCTTATTGATTCTTAAACATTTTTTTTGAAATATTTCTAGTAGCAAAGTTTTATGCAACTGTTTTCCTCTCTTTAGTTGTAGATTCATAATTTTATCATAATTAGATTTTTGACTTAAGTTTTATCGAGTTTTAAAAAGAAACCCTTCTACAAGAGTGAAAATTTTCTGTTTATTAAGTTTGGAGTATGTTATTATTATCCATGATCTTGAAGGTTTCATGGACATGAAAATAGATCATATGTTGTATTTAGTACCGCAATTCGAATATCTTTAAAATTTAAGAACAGCTGAAATCAGTCCGTTCAGAACATCATATACAATTTATTCTAATCTGGATAAAAGCTGAAACTCAAAACTATAATCATCTGTTCTCCAGTAACTGACTTAAAAACAAATATGTGAAGCTGTCCTTCGAAATGGTGGTCGACAAAATCGAACTAAATCAAAAGTGGAACAGCCTTCTTAAATGGTATTGGTTGAATGTAGTGTAATATTGTGAATCGAGTCAAGTTGAAAATTGGTACAACTGAATGCTAACACAGTGAGTTTATGCCTATATGCATGTCACAAGGTTTTAAAGCATTGAATGAGGACACTCAAACTAGTATTGATCAGCTGTCCAAAATTCAACGTTTTTCTTCAGTCTTATTTCCCATATTTTCACTGGTAATGTAAGTTCTCTAATATTTAAGTTTCTTTAGGACATAGATTTAGGCCAACCACAAAACTGTTGAAAACTATATTTTCATTATGTTGTTATGGCTATTGTTGGGCTTCACTGAAATCATAAATCTACCATTGTTAGATTATCAGGAGCACTGTATGGCAGTTTTGTCATGGTAATGGACTCATCAGCAGTGCGCGTTCACGTCCCCCGCTCATAGGAATTGAACTCAGGACCTTCGGTCTTGCGCGAGAACACTTAGCCGGCATTCAACGGCGTTAATTCTAAACTTTGATCGATCTATGGTTTTTGCGGAACCTAAACCATTATCTTCGGTAGTCGCTGCCTATACCCAACAGGGATGAACTCCAATGATCACGGCTATACCACTTTTAGACCCATATTTAAGACTTGTTGAGAGGTAGTGAGATTAGTTTCATCAACAGCTCTTACTAATAAGTTACAGACTGCGATGAAACAATTTTACTGTATTCATCAATTACTCTCCAGCTGATTTTAATTAGTTTTCTTATTAATCAATAAACGTAAGTGTTAAGTAAGTAAAAAGCACTCTATTCAATTTGTTTCACACTACATTATTTTATTTCACTGTTTGTTACAGTCAAGAAGAAATCAAGGAACGCAACGCCAAACGATTTATCCTACTAAATTTTTTTCTTTTTATGCGTCGATAAAATTTGATCAAGTGTACCCAATGTCTCATTTATTCTTTTCCAGATTCATAATATTCGCCAGTAAAGAGTTTTGAATGTTAGAAAACGCCAGAAATTTGTCAGATTACTTGTTAACTTACTGACTAAATGATTTTGAGGTAGGTAATCAGTAATCCAACATATTTGCTGAATTTATCTATCCACAAAATAACTAACTTCTGAACTGAGTCATGACTAATTAGCTGAAGTTTGAGTGATTATTTTAACTAAGGCTTGAAGACATAGATTAATTATACCTTAAATAAATTCACACCTTAGATTTTGAGTTTTGAAATTATCAGATACATTTTTTCCCTATGGCAAACTCATTATTCCTTATCACATCATACTATTTATGCAGAAACGTTTCAACTAGTATTGTTATTGTTATTATTGTCAACTAATCCAGTGTTTATCTTAATGATTTCATCTCTCTATATTGATGTATTGTGTGGAAACTTAAACAGATGTACATATGTGACAAGTTCAGCCTTGTTTATCACTTACTATGACTTACAAAGAACATTTCATATAAATTTGTTAACTAAACTTTAGGTTTTACATAAAACTATAATATTTTTCCTGAAAAAAAATTAGAAAGTATGATAAAATCATAGCAATCGAAGAGACATATAGCAATAATTTAAAACGTGGCATAGAGGTTTGTGAGTTCAAGCAGAAAAGCGAATTAAGATCAAAAATCACTGACCAGTTTTAGAGCATTACATAAGTTCTCCTGACTGAGTTACAAAGCCTCAAGATTTCATCTCATGATAAACAAAGAGGTCAGTACATTGATTCCATCTTAATGCTTGTTCATATTCCGTTAAGAATATAAGACATATCTAGAAAATGATAGCTTGAGATTTATGACAATATCTCACAAAAATATATAAATAAACATAATTTCAAATCTATTAACAGTTCTACATCCTCATATAAGGCCATAGAGTTCTAGAAAATCTCAGAGAATGTTGAAGAATCTTTTGAAGAATACAAAAAAGAAATTTGATTACCACTATTGAAAATTTTGCTAATAGAGAGCTGTGTATGTATAGAGTGTTTTTCAAAAAATATTTTCTCTATTCTCTTTCCCCCTTTTTACATTATGGGATTTTCTATGACTACATTTGCCTTATGTTTTTAGTCTTTCTACTCTTAGCTTTATTTGTAAGTTGCTATAATTATTCACTTGATTAGTTGAATACTAAATTACTTTTTAGGTACATTACCTCTTAACTCTACATCATTACATTTGATGGTTATACATGAAAGGACTTGCAAATTCTACCGACTAAATAAGAGAATCTTATCACAAATCATAGATGCCGACTAGATTTAACGACATTTTTATCACTTTTTTTCACACTGAACAAAAAAACAAAACAAAATATTAAGAGGTAAAAGCTTCCTTATAAAATTTAACATATGTAGAAGGATAAAACCGGCAAGGTATGCATTTACTTTAATTGAGTGTTGTTGAACATATTTACTAATCTTTGAACCAATCGGCACCTTGATATTGTCAAGACTTCATTGTCGACTGAATGCAAGTTTCCTATTTGCTGATTTTGAGAATGCCCTACCTATAAGATAAGATCAGTTAAGTAAATATTAGGAACTAAACTGTATTTTAAGAGTTATTCAGTCGGCGTTCAATAACTTTGTTTAAATAATTATCATTCACATATCTAAACTATCATATATTTGATACAAATTTCAAATTCTAACAAAGTATGCGTTTACTTCAAGTTTGAAACGCGATTTACAAGATATTTGAAGGTTATTTAAACAAGTGATGGCGGGATGGATTATATCAATGTACTAGCTATAATTGGTCGGACCATTTTTACTATTGAGGATATGATTCACTAGTTTCTCAGGACCATACCAAACAAAGAGAGAATATTCACCCATTCAACAATGAAATTCACTGATTCAAAAAATTTATTGTTTATACCAAAATTAAATTGAAAGTCATCCACTAATCACAATGAAATACCATGCTTTTAAGTATCATCAGTACTAGGGTTTAACGTGATAATTTCAAATTAATTGTACATTGAATAGATTGTTAATAATAATAATAATAAATTTGTTATACTTAAATGAGTAAAAATTAGAAGTCTGTGCTTAGAATAAATAAGTAAATGAAAATGAACAAATGAATATTATCTTTCACTAGAAATCTACAATCTTATAATATATTTTTAAAAAAAAACAAATTCGTTTAATTTTATAACAAATAACAATAACTATGATAGTAGGATAACTTTACACTATTATGATCATCAGCAGTACACATAATTAGATATTTAGAAAACCTGCAAACCACTAATTATAGGTATAATAATAATAATAGTAATAATCAAAAAGAATAGTTTCATAACATCTCCTTGAATTTATCAATCATACAAAGCCAACAGATGATTACATTATGGTGACTGACGAAATCTCAGCACGGATACAGAAAGCTCGATTGGCTTTTGCCAACCTGCGTCACTTATGGCGTAGGCGAGATATCCGTTCTCTGACCAAAGGACGGGTGTACTGCGCAGCAGTTCGCTCCGTTCTCCTATATGGATGCGAAACATGGCCATTAAGATTAAAAGATGTTCGTAGGTTACTAGTATTCGATCATAGATGTTTAAGAAGCATTGCTCGTATATCGTGGGACAGCCGAGTAAGCAATGCTGTTGTTAGGAAACGGGTGCTATGTAAGGATGGCAAATCAATAGATGAAGTGGTGAAACTTCATCAGTTGAGGTGGTTAAGACATGTGTTACGTATGCCTAACCACCGACTGCCTCGACGAGCTATGTTTTGTGGTGTAAGAGTAGGTTGGAAGAAAGCTAGGGGCGGCCAGACCAAAACATGGCAGAAATCCATGAAGTCACTGACAAGTGGACTGAGTCATGTTGGTAGATGTAGACTACCTGGTTTGGGTCCGCGAGACGAAAGTCATCAATGGTTAGAGACCTTGAACGACATGGCTCAAAATCGTTTGCAATGGCGCAAGTGCATCCATTCGTTGTGCTCTCTCAAATCCTAATCTTCTGGATTCGTCAGTACCTCTACCCTTGTCTTTCTAACCTCATCTCACTGAATTATACTTCTTAAATAATATCTTCGAACCCTAGTCTTCTTCATTACCATTAATACCTCTTCTATCTTTATCACTATGGGATTTAATTTGACATTTGCGTCTCTGTGCTAATGTGGTATGGCAACATGAACTTATGTACATACGTACGAAGTTCTACGTTGCAACTGACTGACTGACTCTTTATGTACTGAGACTAAAATAGATAAATCCATCCATGTGTTAGAATTGTAAATGTCAACTGTAATGTAAAAACAGCTTAATAAACGACTGTTCAGTTATGAATTGTTTTCGTTGAGTTATGATAATTAGAATGTTTTTTTTCTCACTAAATGTAGCCGCTTATAGTGGTGAACTTAGATAGAAAATCAAGATAAACAGCTAAATGTGAAGCTTTACGCAAGTCACTATTATCGACAAATACACACACATACACACATGTGAGACTTTACTTAAATAGTGGTACAATGTATATCTGATAAAACTAATTGTGAACTGGTCTAGTTAAATACATGTATATTAATTACAATAAACACTTTTCTGATTTTAAAGAATAATTAAAAGTGGAAATTAATAAAATAGATGGATTCAGTGATGAATTGATTTTAGTTGAATTGAATCTATTGGAATTTTCACTGATTTCTTACATCATAACCTTAATGGAAACAATTTTACAATTAATCATGTGCACAAAACAACTAAATGACATAAATAATCCTTGTCGTCCATATAAGTAGTGAATTTTATCCAACTCACATCAACATTCATATAGTAGCCTTGAATATCTTGAACAGAATAAAAGCAAGCATTGATGCAGATTAATAGAAATTCATTTTATATTTAGTCAGGTCGGCCATCAGCTGTTTACAACCTATAATAGTTTAAAATCAAAATTATTATTATTATTGCAGACATTAATTTTCTGATAAATACGAAGGTGAATACGTGTGTTGCAAAGATTCCAATAAGTTTAGTAAGCTCATTAAATGAAGTGTGGCATTTGGAGACATCATCTTCAGAGAGGATATCAAGTAGATACACTGAAGTATTTCAAATTGATTAATGAAAAATCCAGTCGGTAGCTTTTGAACTCTGTCGAAGATATAATCATAATAATAAATCTTTCTTTACCCTGATAAAAAATTACGTCCATTTTATTGCATCATACGTTATCTCAACTTTTTTTCAAGTTTTTATTACACCTCGTAATTTCGATTTCAGTTATACATATTATATATATATATATATTACCATTCATCTGTTCTTAGTTACTTCATTACACAATCACATAAAATTTGTTAACTTTATGATTTTTAAGCATTAGTTCGATCATCTGGAACTTTTCCTCTCACACTTCACTTATCTTGAACATACTTTTTATCAACTGATTAGCTGTTTTGCAGTCATGATACACATAATCATCTGTAATCACCTTTGTATTTAATAAGTATGGCAATGTCAATAATAATAGTATTGACTATAAAATATTATCGATTGTAGACAGCTGATGACCAACCTAGTTAAATACAAGAAAAAAAATGAATTTATATCACATTCTCCATCAATGTTTGTTTTAGTTTACTTCAAGTAAACATTAATCATCTTACAAAATCAACAACATCATCATCATCATTAATCTTACCATCCAAAATTTTTCCCAACTACACATTGCCATGTTCCACCGTATCGTTTATCAAATTCTTGTTTAATATATTTCGCTATATCTCGATCACATTTAAAACGTTCACATGCTGCAGCACAACAATCCACAGCTATCGATTGCATTGATTCTGGCATATCAGTTGATTTAATTCTGGCCACTTTCTCCATACTCATGATTAATTCCAAATTAACAAGTTTTCCTCCACTGTAATAATTGACTATTGTCTCAATGAATATTGAATTGTTTAAATTAACTTTTGTTTTGTTTTGTTTTTAAAACAAAAAGCTAAGTGAGCACGTGGATTGATTGGTAGACAAATAGACTGATTGGTAAATAGACAGACACAACTATCAAATGAGAATGTATGTGTATGAATGTGTTTTTTTTGTTGGCTAATGCTAAAAAAAGCATAATGATATATATATATATATATATATATATATATATATGTAGATATATATATATATATATATATATATGTAGATCATTATCGAATATCAAGTGTCGATTGAGTAACTTGTAAACTTCAATACACTGATTGAGAACATCTTTAACCAATAAGATTGAAGTCACTTATCACATCGTTCTTTAAATTTTAATTATTATTAGTGAATAGTTAGAGTGACGGTATTTTATTGAGTACTAATTAATTATAAATACTGACCCAACAAAAACAAAGTCAACATTATTCGAAGTATTTTTTGTTTGTTTAATTAGCTGATGTGTACCATTAAAACAGAAAAAACACAAATGAGTAAGTTATCATTCATCATTTAAGATAATAATTCTAAAGTGATGCAGTACAAGACTAAATTGATTTTCTGAGTTTCGATTACTGAATTGTAATTAAGTGATAATTAGAAATAAGCTAAAACTTATTTTTCAAATCACCAAAATAATGCCATTTAAAAATTCAGAATGAATAAAATAGTTTTGTGATTTTTAAATTCTCATGATCATGGTTACATCACCACTGCAAACAAGGAAGCATTGAACAGTTATTTAGTTCAATTATAAGATTTTTTTATTCATGTTCAACCATAAGTGTACGGTGGATTGAGCCCAAGGTCTTCAGTCTGTCAGTAAACGCTTTACTTCTTGGTCACTAAGGTGGTCAACGTAAAAAGCACGAAGTATCGATCTGATAGGGATAAACCTCATTAGCCTTAAAAATATTCAGTCAATACATACGCGAATACCCATCGTTTGGCTGTTCATGAATCGATTTGCGACCAGAAGATTCACTTGTTGACCTAGAATACATAGATGATATGGTGCTGCTTGGTGAAGATATTGACAATAAGTCAAGTTCTTGATCTTCATGATAGACAGAGATTAGAAGAAATCTAGGGGTGTCTAAACCAATACTTGGCATCAGTTCCTTGAAATTATTGATAGTTGAACTAGGTTATGTATGTTTTTGCAAACTATATGATTAAGTCCCACTGGATAATAATAACCAATTTTTGGAAACAACCATTAGCATGATTCGAAATGGTGCAAATGCCTTCATTTTACGCTTTTCCTTAATTTTAAGATTATTATATACTTTATGAACAAACTCATTTTTGCTTCCTGATCAATACCAACTTTGCCTAATCTTTCGTTCTACCATTGATACTGTTACTACTTCTACTAATAATGGACTTATCTTGATAATCCTAGTAGAGAAAGAAATCAGGAAGAAGCGCTGGAAGTGGATAGGACACACTGAGGAAAGCATACAAAGGCATCACAAGTCTTCACTTGGAATGCTCAAGGTCAACGTTAAAGAGGAAGACCAAGGAACACATTAAGCTGAGAAATGCAGACAGACATGAGAAGAATGAACAATATTTGGACAGAACTAGAAAGGAAGGCCCCCCGACAGAGTAAGTTGGAGAATACTGGTCGGCGGCCTAAGCTCCATTGGAGCTAATAGGCGTAAATAAGTAAGTAAGTAATTTCTTGTTATAACAATACACTGAACAGTTTTCCAACTCTCGTTTATAATAAAAGCTTTCATAAAAATGAAACGGTGAAAAAACCAAATAAATAAAGGTATACTAATCAATAAAACTGATTCATTTGAGGAAATAATTGTAAAAGCAAGAAAATCGCATTGAAAAACAAGAATATGTATAGAACTTTTACAATTATTATTCATCCACGATACATTAAAATGCTCCAAACAATTACTGGTTACGAAAGAAAAAAATCAGAGTTTATTATTAAATGTGAAGAGATCTATATCAAACCATAATAAGAACACATACCAAGGCAAAATCATAAACAGTCTACATTAGCATAAGAAAAACTTGGTACAAAATTGGGAACAAAATACAGCCATTTCGATACGAAAAGCGATAAATAAATGAAGAAGTGGTTAGATGAATTTATCAGGTTCGTCACTAGCTATGCTTGATACTATTACGGGTTCACCTTAGTCGACAAACGAGAACGAGACAATGAACCTGCGTACAGGTAGGCTACCTTGATCCAAAACGGCTAAAGAGAAGTCTTGATAAGCGTAGAAAGTATATTCTACAAACACCCAGCATGCACAATGCAATCAAGCATACAAACCTCGTTTATCTATACATCATAGAAACGTCCTTGGGGTAGTCACAAAAATAGCACACTAAAATACACAGCAACCAGTCACAGCCAAGGATTTTCCTGGTGGGAATTGAAATCTCAGGGTCAACTGATCAGCACATGCTCGCAAACGTGAAATCCAAAATAAGGCATTTTTCAAGCGAGTTCTAGGGATCTAACGTCCCCAACAGAATTCATCTACGTTATTGGGATTGATTTCAGCAATAACTACTAGTAATTACAAATAAGTAGACTCTATAAATCCGATATATCTTCATTGACGAATCTTTGTACTATTGTAATACCTTAATTTAGCTATTTTCATCTTTTTCCAAAAGAACAATCATATATCTAATCAGACAATCGAAATGTTTCCACAATATATGTATATAGATCAAATTATATTCGTAATTACTAACTCCTTCAAGTTCACATGTTAAATGATCTTCATACCTACAGAAATTTTTCGCGTGTATTAGCCAAAAGGACATAAATTGGAATTCTGTTAACCATATCATCGATTCGCGGAAACTGGTCAATTTTAAAATATTACGGGGTTTTGTAGGTAACACATGAGACGATCAATGTTAGATCACCATTAGAAACCTGGAAGCACTAGACGACCATTTCGTCCTGGTATGGTGCTCATCAGCAGTGAGCATCCACTACTCCTGCACCTCGCAAGATTCGAACATTACTTCTACAGAACAGATTTAAGGTTTTAAAAGATCTGTATTACTACTAACTTTTTCCGGAATTCGACAATAAGATGTAGTCAATAACATCGATACGAAGTCTGTAACTAAATTTAGTGAGTCAGTCATATGCAGCGTAAAATTTGGTACAATGTATATCGGTTCAAATCGCTACACCCCATCAGCACGGCGAGAAGAAACTGCCAAAAAATTCCTTTAGTAGGTAAGACAGTAATGATATTAATGATATGAAAGATCAGATATGGAAGATAAGATTCCATTAAGATATATGGGTTAGTCGAATGGAAACATCTGGATTCAGGGGAGGACAAACAGTGGATGCACTTTGGCCATCGCGGACACTTATGAGCTACGTCACGCAGTCTCTCTAACCATTGGCTACCATTATCACGCGAACACCGATCAGGCAGACTGAATCTGACTAAACGTTTCAAGCCAATAATTATCGTATACATGAACTGATGCAATGCTTTGATTTTGGTCGTCCTTAGCTTTTATTCAGCTTACTGAACTAATGAATTTGTGGATGATACAATTTCATGTTTCAATTTGGGGTGAGGTATAATAGACATTAATTAAATTTTTTTAATCTAGAACTACAAACATATCAAACGTTTCTGAAAAGGACCTAACTTTCACAAATCTTCATCTTTCTCCGAACAGCAGACATATTTTAGATAATTGACATAAAGACAAGATAATTTCTTAGTGATATTCTTATGTACTCATTATTGTTCAGAAAATTGTTTAGATCTATTGAGCAGCCTAGAGTAACTAACACTTAGTTATCTAGGATTAGCTTTGAAAAGATCTTTCGTCACAAACTGACTTCAGCTGACAATTGATGAACATTCAGTTCTACCAGGCATTAATAACTACTCAAATAGTCAAGAAGGGAATACGATTGAATTTTATAGTGTACACTTTATAGACTGACCAATTTTCCACTATTATCAATAATTCTTACTTCATCTAGTCAGTAGATTATTTCGTATATGTCAGATAGGCAAGTGCAGGACAGAGTTCACTAGAGAACACTAGTTGGCGGCCTATGCTCCAATGGGGGCAACAGGTGTAAGTAAGTAATATTTTAGAAATCCATATGATGGAAGGAATCAAGTAGTGAGTGATTGGTTTATTGAAACACACTTTAGAATCAATAGGTTTTTTAATATTTAAAAACAAAAGAGTGGCTAAATGAAACAACTACCTTTGTATAAAGTCAAATCTCTTTCGTAAATTAAAAACTTGATGTACAAAGGAAAAATTTATTTAGAATTTAAGAAAAGACGGAATGGCAGTTGCAGTTTACTATGCAAGTCGATAATCGACCAAAAAGTATTCAGCATTAAAAAATGATATGGAAAAGAAGCAGTAAAATCGTTTGAAAATTATCTATTGTAACACACACCGGATATTACATGATCACATGAATATTAATAATGATGATGATTTATTACACAACAAAACCAGGCTCATGATCTGTGTTCGATAATAATAACTCTAATTGTGGAATTTCACCAGCAGTTTGTACAGTTGATAAAAGATGACGAAAGTCTGGAATAAATCGGTCCTTGAAAAATCCTCTTTCCGTAACAGAATGTCCAGCTAAAATAACAGAAATACCACGAGAAACAGCTTCAAGACGATCGTGATGAGATAATTCACCAGTGATAAATAAATCGGCAGCAAATGAGGTTGGTGTTTGACATAATAGTGACCCACCAGAACCAGCACACACAGCAACTGTTTGAATTAGACAGTCTGTAAAGTAATAGAAACAAAATACTATAGTAAATAAACTTTCTAACAGATAGTTATAGAGAAAGGGGGCTAATCAGATCTCTATGATGATAAAGTATTAAGTTGTACACAATAACAGATGTTATCCTTGAAAGTAAGTGGTTATTTTGGACAAATGATGACCTTTAGCACTGGTGAAATATTCTATGAGATAAAAGATAATATTAAGTAGCTGAACTAAAATAGGATATATTATGTCTGCCAAGTTACCGTCTATCATGATGTGAAATGATAACTGACGTTGGAAGAAAGTTAAGAGTGATTAGATTAGAACTGTTGGTTTGAACCATGTTAGTTAGTGCTAAATTACTACTTGGGTTAAACATAATCCGCAATTTATGGTTAGAAACACTGGATGGCATAGAGTTAAGTTGGTTACTGTGATAAAGTTACCTTACTGGTAATTTCAACACGTAATGTTACTTCGTACTTCATTTTATTTTCATTTATTTCGTCTGTACTATATTTTCACTGTTTAAATACTCATTAAAGTTGGCATCATTCTAGTCGTTTGGCTCGTAACTTTCGAGTTTCCTCATTCGATAAACTGATATAAGCTACAGCAGCTTGGATCAATACATTTTCTTACTAGGTCCTACGTCGACAATGAATACTAGAAACATAAAATCGAAAAACTAAATATTATTTATGTTTTCTCATTACATAGTCAAGAAATAATCTCATAATGTACTGACTGTAAAAAACCAGAACTTGTGACTTTGAAAGTCGTATGAACACAATTAATCATTTATCATTTAACAGAAATGAAAACCAAACAATATATTTATTGTAATAAAAGATATTTTTAGAAAAGACAGTGTATTAATCCTTAAAGTAAGAAACATTGACCTAATGAATTTAGAGTATGTAAACTCTATTGAGAAATAAACAAACAAGTGAAGTAAAATAAAATTTTGAAGGAAGCTCTACGATCTTCGTTAAGAATGAATCGTGCATGAGTTGAATTCTGGCATTAAACACACTCACAGACGCAATGACTTTAATTATCAAGTCGAATCCACAGTGCATACTTACCATATGGTTAATCTTAACATTAGCTCATCCATCATACGGTTTATACCACAAACAGTAATCAGTGAGTACACTGACTACAAGTGCCGCATGTAGCCTGGTAAATTTGTGAATATGAGATATGTTTCTTCTTAACATTACTTTCAGCTTCTCGTTGTCCATTACAAGTCCATGTTCGAAACTAATTTTGGGTGACATTAACTTGAAATCAAATAAATATTACAGTTAGACAATAGTAGAGTTATCAGAAAAGAGTAGTGGGTAAGAAAGGTGGTTGATTTACGACACGTAGCCATGGTTCGGAAGATAGTAGTAAACGACTAGCAACTGACGGCCTAATACAAAACTCCGTGGTTAAGGTAATATAGATGGTGCAACTCAGTAGCTTAAAATATTACCGAATGTGGTTTAGAATAGAAATAAATAATGATTCAATCGTAATCTGCAATTAAATCCCTCATAAAACTAACACAACTGAGATAAATCTATCTTGACTGTAATTCCGACTAAACTATTAGAAACTACATTTTTTGACTGACTGGTTGATTGTAATACATATTTCTCGTTTCTTCAAAATATTTTCGTTTTACTTATGTAGAGTATTTTCATTTAATGCCTAACTGCAACAGAATATGTCTCACGAATAAACAGATATTTCAAGTCAACAGAAACAAGATTAGATTATTCTTAGATTGACCGAGATCTTAGGTAGAATCTGGGAACTGGACGTAATCCCATCCGACTGGTCTCAATCCCTGATTGTCCCAATTTATAAGAAAGGACGGAAGTCTTCTTGTGACAATCACAATGGGAGGTGCCAAGTAAGGATGGCAAGTCAATAGATGAAATATTGAAACTTCATCAGTTGAGGTGATTAGGACATGCGTTCCGAATGCCTAACTACCGACTGCGTCGTCGAGCTATATTTCGCAGTGTAGGAATAGGTTGGACGATAGATAGGGGCGGTCAAACCAAAACATGGCACAAATCCATGAAGTCACTGACAACTAGATAGAGTCATGTTGGTGGATGTAGACTACCTGGTTGGAGTCCGCGAGACGATAATAATCGATAGTTAGAGACCTTGAATTACATGGCTCAATGTAATGACGCAGGTGCATTCATTCTTTGTGTTCTCTCAAATCCTAAACTTTTTAATTCCTCATCACTTTATCTTTATGTTTTCAAGTTTATTTCACTAGATTCAACTTCTTGAATAATATCTTCGAACCCTAATCTCTCCGATTATTGCTAGTACCTTTACTACCTCTACTACTATGGAATTCGAATTGACAATTACATCTCTGTGCTAATGTAGTATGGCAACATGAACTGATGTACGTACGTATGTACGAAGTTCTACGTTGCTATTGATTGATTGATCGAGATTAGATTATTCACTGATAAATCACTGATTTAATGAGTATAAATTAGGATTCTTACTTGCTTTTTGTAGATAAAACCACAGAACAGACGACTTAGAATAATTTAAACATTATGAACAAGCTTACTATTTGGTCGTCAAAATATTAATGTACAGTTGGGAAATACAGAAAAAAGGACTAAAAATATCTGAAACTATTGATTAAATTGGATGGAAGAGACAGAGTGAAGGCTGAAACAGAGCATAAGCATTGAATATATCACGTGTATTCACATCAAATATCTATCCACAAGCTAAAGATCTTTTTATCTGTTCATCCTTTTCATACTCACCCGTGATCATGACAAAATAAATAAGAAATATGGAGTTATTGTCAATAAGAACTACTCTGATTATCAATAATGTAGTTTTATACTCGAAAGATATATATATATATATAACATGTAACAGCAGTTTCATACATTATTTTTCAGTTCAAGAATGTTAGAATGAACATTATATCATGAAGCTAAACATCGAACAAATCAGATTTAAATCCAGTTTTAATCATCGAAGAATGAAGAACTGAATGATTACAATCAGGAAATATGTCCAATTTTTTATTGAAAGAAGACAGTATAATACTAGAAAAATTTTAAATATTTGATATGATAAAAGTTGGTGTGAGCAAAACGTAAGACGAAGGATGATCAGGAACTAAGATCTGACAAATTTTCGCACAACAAATGTTTATACTACTTAATAACAATAAGTAACGCGATGAGGGGCATTGGAAATATATATTGGTGCTTAAAAAACTGGGAAGCATTTAAACACAAATTCATGCTTAACATGTAAGTTTTATTCCGAACCGATCAACAAATAGCTTGTCATTGTCATTTTTCAATGCAATATTAAACAGTTATATAAACATGAGTCTATAACCAACATCTAGCTAAATGTAACATCGTTATAACCTATACTATCTACATAACGTAGCGTATTTAAATTTCCGTCTAACTCAGTATAGCTCACGAAAGGTTATGCAAATGAAATATAACAGAATCTGCTCAGGAGTATTTCAAAGAATTTCATGGAAGAACACATAAAATTTATCGGACTCAGATACGTCCAGAGCTTAGAGATTATGATCAAAGAGAAAGTAACTATAAAGTCTAACCATGGTATCAATACCTAAAAAAGAGAAAGTGGTTTTATTAACAAACAGGTAAATAGTATGCATTTTTTCTACGATAGAATTTCAATATCAATAATAAACTTTCATTTTTGTGTCGGAAAACGGATAACAAAGAAAATCGATATGCGATGATAACCACAGTTTCATTCAATAATCATACTTTTACTGCATCATATTAGGGAGATGGAAGTTAAAAATGTAAAAAAGAGACTTCATAAATATTTGGGCTTGAGTATTTGAATAAGCACAAGTGATATACTGTATTTTTAGAGTGCGGCAGCTAAACGAATTACAGAATGGAAATCAGAACAAAAATCAAGATAATATTATGCGTACACTGATGTTTTTTGATGCTCTAGTCAAAACTGATTCCGAGCCTCACATGTCTGCGTCTAGAACTAAACAGTAAGCCACTGTATAGGTGTTATATTGTAGATCATATTCAGATTTAGTATTTACCTTATGCTACCAATGTGCTGATTAAATTTTCTATTATCTTAGTTTATTTTTCGATACATTGTAATATTATGCATTCCTACATCGAGTCTTAATAAATAGGTAGCGCTAGAACCGATACAAATTAGTAAATGTCAATTAACTTATCTGTGTTTCAGTTTAGATCATATCAGAGACTCGTATACAGAGAAAATCTAATTACCTAGCTAGTAGGTCAATAATATTTAAATTAATTCATTTCATGAGGTGTGTTGAAAGATTAACATTAAAATAACAATTTTCATTTATCAGATATGACACACATGACCAGTACCTTTACAAACACATTTATTACAGTCCAACAGAAAACATAAAAAACCAGCATAATTCCATCAAACTTTTAAACTCCATTTTTTTCAACTCTGGCTTCTTTCATGCCAAAGTTTATTTCGGATAACTAAAAATACTTGCAACAATTACTTGATCCAAACATTTACAAAAATAAAGTTACGAGAAAGTTAGATTAAATATTTATCTTACCGAGTGTTTTACCTAATCCTGGAGCTACAGTTAAATGCTCCACGTTTAGAAACTTCTTGTAAGCAGCGATAATTGCTTTCAGATGAACTGGAAATTGTAAACTGACTATTCTGCCACATCCTTCCTCACTTGTCTACAACCTAGTATTTTGATAATACATATACCTTCTGAATAGTGTCTATACTAACAACTGAAATTCCAAACTCCTCCGTTGCACCAATAACACGTTTTAAATCGGACTCAAGACAAGTAACAATAGCCGTTATTCCAACATCACTGATTTTGAAAATGTAACTAAAAAAGTATCTTACCTCTTAATACCAGTCATACACACTTCTACTCCGGTTGTTAAGACGAAGTTTCCGAAATTATTATTCATGACCACACTCAGCC